ATCTCCCAAACACCCTCCACCCTGGCTGTACAAGACTTCCCTCCCCATGCCTTTTTGAAGATAACATATGTTTCCATAAGGAATAGGGAACAATGATCTCACGTCATGATAACAACATATTTGCATGCATACTCCCTGACGTTTGCTTTCAGTGTGACTAGTTGCCTCTCTATTTGATATCAAGTCAAGGAGGGAAAGACGTAACTGGTCCCAATGATTAAGAAGATATTTTATGTATGCATGTAGACGTCGCCGAACAAAACACTATTCCACATATTCTTTTTCACCCGATCACATGATGTTTCATAAGATTTCAGAACAGATACCTGACATCTTCAATACAGATGAAAAATACAATGTGATAAAAGACTGGTTTGTGCAATCCAGGCATGGCAGACAAATGTATGTGCAATGAAATCTTTTAGCTCTTCTTTCAGCAAATGCGAACTTGGTAACAGGCCTGTCACTATGGCATTTTCTATGGTAACTACTGATCCAGGAACCAGTCAGTCCACTCCGGAAGTCTTCCTCATGTCCATATTAGCAGTGTGGAAATGACCAGAGGTGCAAGTTTACTTTTTGCAGGTCACTCTATTGTTTGCTTTTGAAGTATCGCAAGTAAAATTTCCCGTGGAATTGTATTTCTTCCTTGAGTGCCATCCAAGTAAAATTCCCTGTGGAATTGTATTTCTTCCTTGAGTGCCATCGAGTCAGTTCTGATTCAAATTGACCTTAAGTGCAGCAGAAATGATCTCTCCCTGGTCCTGAACCCCTCTCCCCCCTCACAATTGTGACTAAGTTTCAGCCGGTTTCTTTCCCAGACATCTTTTAAGCACACACTCTCTTTTTTAAATAAGTAATCTGTATTCACATCTGCACATTCCATTAATTGCTTGACTTTATTATAGAAGTATGTCCATTTCTTAATTAATAGTGACATACTCCAAGCTATATTTGAACCAGAAGAGATACTGAAAATGGGAAAAGGGCCTTGGTGTAGTGGTTAAAGTGCTCAGCTGATAAGCAAAAGGTCATTGGTTTGAGCCCACCCCCAGCTGACTTATCTGTAAAGATTTACAGTCTTGGAAATCCTATAGGGCAATTCTCTTCTGTCCTATAGTGATGAGACGTGTCAGAATCTACACTAGACAATGTGTTCTGGTATGGAAATGGGAAGAAATTTTGCAAATAATTTTAACAGAAGCTTTATAGAATTCTTTGGTTTCAATAATTAGATTTTGATCTTCAAATTTCAGTGTCAGGGTCGGTGTCGTATGGAAAAGGCAGTTTATTCAGCCCCGCTTTCCTGCTAGTGCCTACTCTTGGCTCCTCAGACGTGCCAAGACTTACAGGGTAGCTGTAAGTCCAAATTGACACCAGGGCCATGAGTTGAGCTGAACTGAGTTGATCGGGGCATGAGGAAAGGCAGGAGGTAGTGAATGATCACTCAGAGGAAGTGATCACTGCCCTTTTCTATGCTAAATTCCATCCAGTAAAGCTCGCACTGAGGTGAGTTACTGCTTCAAAGCAAGACGAAAGCTGCAAGGACGAAGATTCTGACAAGGAATCTTTTGAATGTTGATGTGTTTATTTTGTTTTGTTTTACTGTAACTCAAAATAGATGTCGGGGAAAATATACTTGACAACCCTAGGTTAGAGAGACGCTAGTTATGACTTCTCTCTGCGTGGTGCAGAGTTCAGCTCTCAACCAGCAGAAAGGTTGGCCATCGGAATCCCCCCAGAAGCCGGGCTGGTGACCTGCCTCCGGAAAGTCAGAACTCTGCAAACGTGATGTCACCAGGAGTCAGAATCAACTTGACAGCAACCAGCTCCAGCGACTCATAATCAACCACGTGGTGTATGATCGTGGTTACAATAATGTTCGTAATATGCCACTTTCTACGCTGTGATTATAATCCCAGTGATTTGATAAAGTAAATAGGATGTTCCTTCATGATACTAGTGTACAATTAACATAAATAATTCAACATTAAACTGAAATGTCAATATGCTTATAACATATTTACACTTAAAAAGTGCTGTGTGTATCTTTTTTTCTGTCATGTCTACTTTCAGATGCAGTAAGTTCTTAAACAGCTTTGCAATTTGAGGATAGGAAATATCATGTATGTAAATTAAGTATTGTAATGTAAATTAATGTTTTCTTTATCCTATTACTAACCTAAAGATATGTGTTTTTATTTCAAAGGTGACTTTCAAAATATTATTTCAATTTAACACATCTAACCTCATGGAAAATGTGATCATCAATTTAAGTGCAACAAGGTTGGTGGATTAATTTGTGTCTGCACATATTTTACTATAGGCACAGATAATTCCTTTCCTTTATCTAGACTGTGCTGCCTGCTAGACTCCTTGGAAACTCCATACAGATGATATGGAGTCAACAGAAATGGAAGGTAGTGGACCACTGTGCCTCACAAGAACACCTCTGAGAAATTAGCAAAACGATTTACACTTCACAGAAATAATACATCAAAATAGACTGCATTATAAGTTCTATGTGCTACAGACCAGAGTGTAATTACATGTCACTAAACATTTGTCACATTTCATTTCCAGCTCATGGGCTCTACTGATTAAAAACTTCGACTGGCACACCAAGTGGTTAACTGAGTCATGAGACGGCCTACGAGTTTTATGATGCCCTTTCAATGACCTTGTAACCATTTTGTTGATCAATAATTTATATATCGTACAATTCATTGGTTTAGATATAATTAAAAGAATTGTACAATCAACACCACAATCAATTTTAGAGCATTTTATTTGTTTTAACCTGACTCAGCCTGCATTGGAGTCCCGATGGCAGAGTAGTTACACAGCGGGCTGCTCTCTCCTGACGGCATGTCCAAACGCATGAGAGAAGTCTCACCCACCTTGCTTCTAGAGAACATCCTGGCTGTACTTCTGAGACAGATTTGCTTGTTCTTTGGGCAGTCCATGGAACTTTCAGTATTCCTTCATCAGCACCATAATTCACCATAATTCAAATGTATCAATTCTTTATTCAGTGTCCAACTTTCACTTGCCTATGAGGCATTGAAAATTACATGGCTTGGGTCAAGCATACCTTACTTCTCAAAGTAACATCCTTGATTTTCAACTCTATAAAGAGGTCTTGTACAGCAGATTTGCCCAATGCAATGCATCATTTGATCTCTTGATTGCTGCTTCCATGAACATTGATTGAGGATCTGAGCAAGACAAAATCCTTGACAACTTCAATCCTTTTTCTGTTTATTATAATTAACCTATGAGTCCAGTTTCATTATTATTATTATTTTGTTTTTTGTTTTTATCTTTTTCCTCAAATGAAACCTAGGTTAGGTTAATCTATAGAGATAAGTAACTGGATTGATAGTTTCTTGGGGTTATGATGGAGGAGGTTGAGGTACAATGGGAAGCTAATAATGAATACGAGAAAGAAGGAAATGTTTAAATTTGATTATGGTGATGATAAAACAGTTTATTTTAATTAGTATAAATGACTGTGCAGTATTATGTGTGAATTATGTGTCAAGAGCACTGTTAACATTTAAACGAAAACCAAGTGTGGCTTTAAATTCTGAGCCTTGTTTAACACGTGAAAGGATGCAGCTCAAAGTTTACAACCCCCACTGTGGATTATACCTCCACATAAATAATTAATCTTCACAACTGGACCAAAAAGAAATACTGTCATAAACAGGGAAAAGATTGAAGTTGTGAAGGATTTCATTTTACTTCACATTTAATACCCATGTAAGCAACAGTCAAGAAATCAAATGACGTGTGGCCTTGTACAA